TACGTAAGTAAACATAATTTAATGTTAAGAAGCTGAAATGGATGTTAAAAATAACCGTTATCTAAAACTCGTTTATTTCAAATTTTTATGTAATAATAAATAGTTGATTTCATTAGAAAAAAATTTGGTTCTATTTCCATCATATCTCAAGCAAAAGTCGAATTTTTGATAACTTATATTTCTTAAACTGAAAGCTTTTGCAAATATCAATAAATTTAGAACGCTAACGGTAAATGTCATGCCTTCAAAAAATATAATTATTTTCTTTAATTCACTTGCTTAACCGTCCAATTCAGCAATTTTGTTAACGCTTCTTTCAACTTGGTTTTTCATTTTGGTCATCCTAAATGTATGCAATTTTTGAAATATATTCGTATATGAATGAAACTAATTTAAATAATGTAGTAGCTATCTTTATTGTTCGTCGAGGTAGTATTTTCACTTATTTAAGTGTTCACTAACACACATAGCTTATTGTTAAGCTAGTTTGTATCGTATTTGGTTATTACTAAATTTGATCATAATATTTATTCGGAATTACATGACATATTTTACAATAATTTGTACAAGCTAAATGTTAATTACTTTAAAATGAAAGTATAATCTAATATTTCCAGAATAGATTGATGTAGAGTGATCTAACATGGTTTCGATTGTAATAATTTGTAATTAAATAAATCTTTAATTTTCATTTTAAAATTGATGGGTACTCCTATAAATTAGATTTTTATTAACGATTTGATTCAAAATACAATAAAAAAGAATTATTGGTTTATATTTTAGCACAAAACAGTTTACTAAAAATCTAGTTTCGAATAAGTATGTACATTGGCAACCCTTATTAGAAAATCATTTATAATATTTTTATTTTCAATGGAGTCATGAAAGAAAAAGTCTTATTGTATTTTGTTAACTGATTATGCCAAGCAGTTATAATATGCTAAATTTTTATAGATTTTCACTGCCTATATTTTTTTATAACATTTATTTCACTTCGTGTTTTCATGCTCTTTTATTCAACTCATAAAAAAGAAAGAAACACAAAAAAAATTTTTTTTGCGATTCCTTAAACGTTTGCTGATTTTCATTTAATTTTTATGTCGCATTGAAGGAGTTTTTAGAAGATATTTTTAATGTTGGACAAAGATAAATAAAATTTTTATTACACAAAATAAAAAGAGAATGTATTTTGTATTTTGTTGTTTTGAATAATTAATTTTAATTAATTAAAGCAAAGCATATAATTAAATATCATCAGATGGTAAAAAAAACTCGTCGTTTATTTTTTTTAAAGAGGATTAAAAAATTATAAATTTTGTCATTTAAAATTGCCATTAGTTTTCCAAAAATAAAATTTTGAATATGTTGTATAACAAACCTATATTGTATATATAAATTTAAATAATATAATAACGACCTTGAAAATAACGTGGCATAATGTTTAGAGCCAAAAATACTTTAATTATAATGCTATAATATTTATTATGATTCATTCTGGTATGTTTACATAGGCACAATAATTGTATAGGGATGAATATTAAAAATAATAATTTTGTTTTATAGATTGTGTGCTTGTAATGATTTACGAGGCTAATAAGAATGACTTTATAAATATTATTAAGAGGGTCTATATATATAAAATAATTATAGTGTGTTTGTACAATTACTTAATTTTATTTTTAAAACCTTAAATCAGTTGAGGTTTTAAGAAAGAATTTTTTAATAAAATTTTTTGTCATTCTATATTGAAATGAATTTAATTTTAATTTAAACTATTTTAACCGAGTAGTTTCTTTGTAAACGTTCTTGTTTTATTTTCTTGCTGTATCATTTCCTGCAGTATATTTCATCTTGAACAATAAAATTTTTCGATTCATTGTTGGATAGTATAGTTGGTTGTTTATGAAGCAAAATATTTTTATATTTTTTTACTTATACCAAAACGTTTGAAATTGAATTTCAAAAATAATGATGAGTTAGCAGGGTAAATCGATGTTGGAATCTTATGGTGTCTACTTTAAAATTTAAATAATAGCATCGTAATTTTTTTTATATATCCATTTAATTTTTATTCTGATAACTTGTTCATAACTGCTTAATGTTTTTTGTATTCGTTTTTACCTTCCATTTACATATGATTTTAAATGTTTTACTTGTGTGAGAACTGAGAATATGTTCAAATCAAAATTCTACCAAATTCCATTATATATCTGATTATAATTCCTTTAAATTAAAGGTGTAGCCAAATTTATTTTTCGTTTCTCCTTAGTAGCATCACATTGTCAGTTATTCGTTTTTATATGGGAACTTGCTTTTAAACAATATTATACAGTGTTAATACATAAAATTTGTATTGAGCCATTTCTTGGTACATATTCTGTGACAGAATGTACTTGACCATTCATTAACGACAATTAAATAAATGATAATTATTATCGACGAATTTGACAAGAAAATTTGAAATTTTTTTGAATAAGGTGCTATAATCGAAAACATGAGTATTTGTCAGATTTTAGAAGAAGTATGAAAATGATTTAGCCTTATTTCAGTATTGTTTTCGAGCAAAATTTCATTTTACTGACTAACTATTTTAATTTAATAAAATAATATTCATGTAAAGAAAACAAATATATAGTCCTTTAATATAGTCCTGTATAATTGAATTGGCTTTCATATAAACTCTTTTTGATTTTAACCTATTTGTACCCATATACTATATCAAGGATATTATACATATTACATAAAATATATAAAAAAAAAAATTTATAAATTACCATTAACATTTCAAAAATCAATAATTTAATTAATTAATCCCAGTTCTTTTTTGTCCTTTCTATTATTCATTTCAGATGCAGCAAAGAAGATAACATATTTACTTGGAAAAGCTTTAAAAAACGCCAACAAAAAATAATAATCGATAAAGAACAAAAATGAAAAAGGATTTAAATGGAATATTGGATCAATATAAGAAGAGAATAAAAGAAATAAAGAAATCAAATGGCTTACCAATATGGTTGTCATAATTCATGCCATCTTTTTTTGGCTTCATCTATGGAAAATTTTTTGGCTTTTTTTGCATACGCTTAATTAATAAATTACAGAAAGAGGTACACAAATTTATAAATAAAAAGTAACAAAAAGGAAAACACGTCATAAAAAAAAAAAAACAATTTTCCGGTAAATGAAAAAATATTTTCATTTTTATTTATGGTTTCCAGGTAAATATATATATATATATAATTTTTATCACAAAAAGTAAGAATTACAAAATACTTAATAAATTTTTAATAAATACTTTGCATAGGGGCACCAATGAAGAGCTTTTTTTTTTTGTTGCATTCTTAGAAATAAATTTTTTCAATAATTAAACTTGAAGATTCAAAAGAGCTCTTTTACTTATTACTCTTTTACTATTATTTTTTTTTTTACTATTTAATTCAGAAATGATTAAAAAATTTCATAAAGGAACGTTCATTTGAAAAAAATATTCTGCATGACCAAGTTTTTTTTAAGTTTTAATTATAAAGTTTTTCCAATTTGCACACATACAATGTAATGTATATACTTTTCCTAAATATATATGTAAAATTTTTAAAATTCGAGTGAAATTAAATAAAAAGAAACTTTAATGCATACTTAAGTACAGCACAATTTATAAGTGAGAATCAAAGTCAAAATTATACTAGGTTCAGGAAGCTAATCATAAAGTCAGTCAAGTAATTATTCTGTTATAAAATAATTACTTCTGTTATAAAATAATATGAGAGTTTCGAATTAGTTAGCGAATACTTTTATAGTTTTAAATCAAATGTACTTTAATGGGTGTAATCTGTCTAGTATATATAGATATTTATATGAAATATTTTTTAAATTAAGTTTCTCCTTTACTTGATTTTTTTTTCGGATTTTTGCAAAATTTAGCTATATCATAAGTGTATTACAGCCCTGGTTTGAATTTGATAGTTAAAGTTGTACAATTAGGTGGCATTTTACCGTTCGTACCGAATTAGATAAGGTTGATAGAAAAGGAAATAATAGTAATAAGCAGGCATTAGCGAAAACATGTTTTTAATGTCTCAGAACGTTTTGTAGGGTTGATTTCCGAACATTTCGAAATAAACTTAGAGAAAATATAATCTAAAACACCTTATCCCGAGGCGAATAGCGAGGGCTATTGCAGTTTCCGTATAAGAACACAGAGTAAACTTTGATCAGCCTTAACGATAAATCTTGAGCCTACTCTAGACCAAATACGAAGTAGGAATAAAAGTATTTTAAGTATGATTATGTCAAAATGCATTCGTATCCCATTCCGAAATTCAATATTCCTGAATTTTTGACATGAATCACTTTATATAAAATATTATTACGGCTCTCCATTAAAATATATTGTTAAATTCTAAATATGCTTTATAATTCATTTTTAAGATTTTATAATATAAAAAATTTTATAGCTTTTAAATAAAATAATTTATAAATTTTTATTTTCTTCTTTTTTCAGGTCCTCTATCAATAATATCTACAATATACGTATATGTATGTCATATATGAAATATAATTTTGAAACTCGTTCAAATCTTCATAATTATATTTACAAAACACATAGCTTAAAATTTTAATTTCTTTTGAGCATAATGCTTAAATTTTATTTCCGAATTTTATTAAAATTGATAGCATAAAATTTTATAAATTTTATTTATTTTTTTTTTTATTTTTTTCCAATATTATTTTTGTTTATATAATCAATTCAAAACTATAACTTGTAATGATAAAACGATATAAGAAGAACAAAAGAGAAAGAAATAGAGAATTATTATTTAAAAAAAAAAAGTAAAAAATGCACATTATGTACCTATATATGTAAATATTATTATATATAATGCAGCTATATGCGTACATAGATATTTTATAAAATGAAAAGTTTTTAAATTAAATTTAAAAATATTAAGTTTATAAGTAGTGAATAAACAGGCAAAAAGAAATACAAAAAAACAAAAACAAAAAAAAAAAATAAATAATAAAATGGAATTGAAATAATAAAATAACAAAAACAATATAAAGGACAACAAAAAGAAAGAAACAAAATATAAAAAACAAAAAAACAAAAAATATTCTTTATATACTCTTGATATAATGAAAAAGTTTAATTAAATAACTAGTGTAAATAAAGGAAATCTAAATTAAAAAAATTTTCAAACAATAAAAAGAAAATTAAATAAAATTTAATATAAATAATAAATTAATATTATAAAATAAAATAAAATATATTATAAATGTATATGTATATAGGATATATAAATAATATTAAATTATATAAAATGGAGAAAGTTTTATGGATAGTATTTGCTTTCATTTCATATTTGAAATATAGTAAAAGTTATGAGCATGGTGATGGTTATAAACCAGGTAAGTTAATTATATATACAAAAACAGTTTATCATTAAAAATATTTACTTGTAAAATATACTTTTATAAATATATTAATATTATTAATTCTTTAATAAACTAATTAATTAATTTATTATCACAAAATCTCATTTAAAATACTTAAAATTAGAATGATAACTTTCGATAAAGCTTTGACTGACTATGGAGTACGAGACTCAAAAAATTTAACCAGTACTTCTATAGTTTTAAGTTTCAATCAACATAAATTTTATACTTTAGGCATTATTATTTGCTGACTGTTTTTAATTTAACCCTAAATTACTATAACATGCATATATTAAAATTGATACATGAAGCAAATTTTCAATTCAAATATTTTATATCTTGTTATTTTGTCAATATTTTATATACGCTAACCCATAACCTAAAAATTCCCCACTCACCTCACTTATAAATCATTCATTCGACAACCATGAATCTTTGAAAAGTTATTTAAAACAGTCCTCCGATGCGTTTAGTAAAAAAAAAATTAAATTATACCAAACGATTTTAAGCCTTTTTTTAACCCTTTAAAGCCCTGTTACTCTAAAATTAAAAGTTACAATCAAATATAATCATACAAGGCGTCGTTGGAAAAGCCCTGTGAATTCAGAAATTTCTTGAAGTTCAGAAAAACAAAATATTCTTGTAGTGCCATGCACAGTATATGTATGCATGCGTTACCTTTTGCATTACTGATAAATATTGAATTTTTACAGGTTTAAGAAAAAGTTTCTCGAAAGCTTATTACTAATCACGGGTGACGCCTTAGGGTCATCGGGAATGTTACAAAACAATAAAGTTTTTTGTATAATCACGCGAGGAATTAAGATAAAGATCTTAATATGTTTGAGAAATTTGTTGAAGCAGTAGTAATTAGAAGTTTTAATTTTTCGTTATATTATCCAATTTTTTCATAATTTTTCTTGCTAATTTCACAGCAAATTTTTCTAAACTAATCTTTAACAAGTGTTTGACGTTTAACGCAATTCAAAGTTTTAAAGTTTTCAAATTGAACACACTTCAACATTATCTTCAATTATTCAAGGCTGCCATGCCATGTATATATAATTGAAGATAATTTTCAGGGCAAATACACTCGAAACAAAAAATATTCAATGGACAGACTCAGAACATAAAATTATGTATTTATACCGAACTCATTCTTCTTTGATATTTCCAAAAATATTCATAATATATAATACAAAATTCGTAAGTGTAGAACATTTTTTAAGCTTCAGTCTCTTCAAGATCAATTACCAACTTCGATTTAGGGTTCACAAGTTGCCAACTGCACAGAATTGCGCATCTAAATTCATGTAAAAAAACATGGAAAACTAAACAGGATCACCCACTATTATTCAAAACAACATAAATCAGAATTCAATAATATTGTTTTATAATCAAAATCAAAATTCGTAGCTTATTTCTATATCTAATTCTTTGACGTCATATATTTCGATTTTATTTTTCATAATAATAGAATGTACTAGAACAATCCTTAAAGCACGTTCACATGTGCACATGTACCTACATTTGCTCATTTTTGGTACTTCAGAAATTATTTTTAATTGCACTAACATAATGCCTATATACATTTTCTTCTATGTCTAAAATGTTTAAGTCTAAATTTAAATAAAAAGTGTTTTATAAAGAGATTTTGTCTCTTTGCATAAATTCAAAATTTCGGCGCGTGTTTTCAATTATTATTGATATTCTCTTGAACTTTTCGATTATAAGTATTATTTTAACAAAAAAAAAAAAAATAGAATTACTATATTAATGTGTGCATATCTATAAATATTTTCATATACATATATGTAATTATGTTGTAAAATTATTTAAAAAAAATCTGAATAAATTTTTTTTATATAAGGTAATTTCTTTTCAGCTTGTAAAATTCGAATTATGATTCTAATTTTATCCTAACTTCTCTTAAGAGTATCCAAAATAATATCCAAATTTAAAGAATTTGAATTTCAATAGTTCACTTGGCTACGACACTAGTAAGAGATACCTAATTTATTATAGTGATAGGCAGCAATTTAACTAAAATTCTATATACAAGCACGATAGTTGCTTTGTTCAAAAAGTTCAAAAATTTTGCGAACTATTATCTGTTGAAAGCCACAAATAGTTTTAAAGTAGTCTGAAAGATGCATAAGAACCGAAAGTAACAAGCGATTTATCTACCTAATTTAAAGAAAAAAATGTTAAGAAATTATTCAAAGGTTATTCAGAAAAAATTAAACTCAGATATCACGTGCCTTGAAATTTTGAATGAACGGCGCCACAACTTCCGATTTCCACTTTAAATGTTAAATTATTTTCTTTCTTCTCCGCATAAAAAATTCTAATCAATAATGTAGTCATTAAATTTTCTATTTTTGAAAGTTTCAACAACAAAGTAATTCTCTAACACAATATTAAATCTGCTTTCTATCTTTTTTGTTTTTTGCTATCATTTGAACATAAATTTTTAATAATATTCATTAAAATCGTCTGTCACCGAAATCTGTAAATCTTTTAAGTTGTACCTACATCACAAATAATTTGATGATCGATTCCAAAGAAAAAACCTGAGACTAGACCGTGAAGATCTTTAAAATAAGAACTAAGAAGGCATACCTACCTAAAAGATAATTTAAATATGATTAAGTTTTAAACTTCTATATGACTTCTACATATACTCCAAAGATTTCTTCCTTCTTCAATAATAATAAAAATAATAAAAATTCGGAAAGAAAAACGCACACGAGTTTTATTATGCCAATTAGATGATTAAAAAGGATATAAAATAAAATAATTATACACGTGAAGGTAAAAGAGTGTATGACAATTTTAAAAAGAAATTGGTTATCTGGGATTGTCAGATTGTATAAGTATCCCATTTGTAAAATCAAGAACGTTAGAAAGAAATGAAAGCAAATATTTTTAAATAAACCAGATATATAGGTGAAATTTATCACTAGAGAAACGTGAATTAGAAAAATGTCGTAATTTAATTTCGTAATATTTTCGACATAAAAACATTCAACATAGTTGTATTACACAGGATTATTTCTAAAAAATTTTAACGTATAGACTATAAAAATAGCAGTGTTTAAGTCACATATGCTACGCAACCGAAATAAGGCTTAAACGAAATAGCTACTTTAAAGCTTGCAAAAAACCAACGAAAAACATTAGTTATGTTAGTACAAACAGCAGAAAAAAGAAAGCATACACGCAAAGCTAAATATAAAATTCCATTTCTAGAATGCTGAAAATTAAGTCCGCTTGTAACAAATTCTGTGGAAAGTTTAATCTTATAGTTTTGTTGGTAGCATTTAATTAACCTCATTTTCCACTTACTTTATTAATATATATAAATTCAGGGCCCAAATTATTTGAAATTTGGAAAATAAAAAATAATACAAGAATTTTTTTTGGTTTTACCACCTTTCCTAAAGTCAAATTGTTCGACATATTTAATTAAATAAAATGACTGCTTGTATTCACAAAATTCGGTCCGACTTTGATTTCAGTAAATTTATAAAATTTAAATACAAACGGGTAGTGCAAAATAAATTTTTTATTCCCAAAGTTTCTAACTCATTGCTAACTCGTTCTATATAAAAACTTATGAAGAAAAACCATTTTGAAAACAAGACAGAAACAAAAAAAAACATTAGCAAGCTTATAGTTAACTTACCTAGAAAAATGTTAATTTGGCTCTTAGTAGAATTTCGCTTTGTGCTACCTGAATTCCCTGAAATGCTCGCCAGTTAGTTTCTGTAACAACCAGAATTCAAATATTAAATTTAAAGAAATTGCATCAATTCGCTCCACAGATATGGTGGAAAATGTAAAATCGGCCCGCAGATCAGTTTTTGAGCTCTGATCTTTCCAAAAAATTTATATGTTCATTATTTTAGTACGAAGAATTTAAATATTAAATTTCAATGAAATCGCTTGATTATTTCTCTTTATATACGCAAAAATGTATATTTGGCCCGTAGTACACGTCCAGTTGCTGATGCCTACCAAAAGTTAGGAGGTTTCGCGGACGGTCGAGCAAAGCTTATATGGTCAAAATGGTCAGAAATGAAAAACAGGTCCGCTAAAAATTGCAGTTCCCCAGCCCGAATATATCCCAAAAGTTGATCAATCCGTGCCATTGTTGAAATAAACTTATATATAAAATTTCATCAAAATCGGTTCTGCTGAACTCGAGATGCACGCGTGCACACATAGACCGACAGGTTGTTAAAAATAGTTTATTTATACTTCCCTACCATGAAGAACTCGATATGCAAAATTTGTTGCCATCACATAACCTACCTATTGTATACACAATACGGTCGGTAAAAACATTGTTACTTTCAATTTAAAAGAAAATTTTTTTGATAAACAAATTGCTTACTTGTAGGCGTACAAGAAATTTTGCAAAATTTTTACGCACACTTATAATATGAAATAGGATTTTTACAAATTGTATTTTATACAAGTGATAATGGAAATAATGCGTATTAACGCTTCAGAAAGTTTTATTAATGAATGACATTATCAGTGATTAAAACTGATTTTGTGCTTCCAACATAAAATATGTATGTGTAGTTTGTGTAGTTAGATGAAATAAGCAAAAATATAGATAGAGAAAAAAGATTTTTTTCTAAAATTTTTTTTATAATCCTTTTAGAAATCGTTAATGTTACTGTATGAAAACTTGTTCGTACAGGGTTTTTATAAAGACATATAAGAATTAAAGTAAATAATGCGTGATTTCTAGTAAAAGAAATCCAAATTAATTTGGAAATAAGAGAGTAAGTTTAATCCTCAAATATTTTGTATTCCTCATTTTGAATGAACTCAATTATGCTCTCCAAATACATAACTATTACAGACTTAATAAATAAACACCATATTTCATAAGAAAGTCAGTTCAGTCCAATTTTCAATTTCAGGAGTATTTTTATATGATTTTCTTTAAAGATTAA